CGACAGTATTTACCGGAATTATTTCAAATTGCATATGTAAAATTCGTAATGACTACTACAGCCTATGACAAACATTTTTGTATGCAGGTCCACGTCTTCGTATAGCCCCCATACAACGGTTCCTCCCGGTATTCGGTATTTTCATGATTTCAGCGACATTATATTCCGGAATTATTTCAAATTTTGTATTTGAAGTACGTAATGGGTACAGCCTATGACAAAAAATTTCGTATTTTGGTGATTTTCGCCACTTATTTCCACGGATTTGTCAACAAATTCGGTATTCTATATTTCGATGGTTTTTGTGACATTTTTTCACGGATTTGTCCAAATATTGGTATTTGTGTGTCATAGTGGGTTCTAATGTTTCCTTTACCCTAAGGTTCTTTTTTACTTGTTTCTATTGAGACTGCGGATAAATCATGAATTATTTGGCTTCATATCCATTTTTCGCTTCAAATCTTATTTTTATAAGTCACCAGTTTTACATTTACTCGCAATTAACCAAATATGATAAACGCCCCACCGATCTCTTCTTCTGTTGTAGCTGGCAGCAATTTTCTTTCACCTTCCCAGCGTTTTTAACTTGTTAATTACAATTGCAATTCTTGGTAATAATTTACATGTGCACTCCTTATTATTAACCAATTGCATATTGGTTGACTTGCATTCACTGGGCATGACAGTGACACTAGCCAGAGACAAAAGCAAAGACATAGAAGTATAAAGATGGGACAAGACAGAGTAAAATATGGCAACCCTGTGAAAAAGACCTCTGTTGTTATGATATCGTAACAACATAGTTACAAATGTTAAGCAATTTAAACCGCTAAAGCCATATGCAATTATTTGGGAAGGTATATGGAATAAAATTTTGAAACCAATATTTTGGATTATCCAAACTTTTATTTGTCATTCTTTCCTATAATTGTTTTTTTTTTATATTAACATGCCTATGCCATGAGCTGTTATTCAAGGTATTATAGCCACAAACCATTTGCTCAGAATGCATTTTGTCTAGTCTTTACCATTTTAGGTCTTTGACAAAAGGCCATACATTAAATATGCAATAATTGAATTTTGGCCAAACTGTCAAACGCACGCACACACAGGCTTGGGTCTTCATTTCATTCCGCCTGCGGAGAGTTGAGCAACGACTCCTTACTTCGATATCGCCTTTTACCAATAAATATTATTTCGTGATTTGACATTTCCGCTTGAGTTCGTTCATTTGTTCATTTGAGAGTCTTCCAGACCATTGGCAGTGCCAAATGCCATCTCCTAGAGGCAAACAAACATGGGCCACATAGTAAGTCCCCAAAAATACTTGTGTGCTTCAGACGGCCTTCTCATATTGTGTGTGCCGCATTTTGCATGCCTCACCAAACGGGGGACTGCAATTAATATGAACACATGTTCGGTGGTACATGGTGCAAAGTGTGGCCATAAATTTGTAGCTAGTAATGCATAATTTACTCATCGTTTTGGTTACAGCACAGAAGTAACCGAATGCTAACTGGAAATGTCTCCAGGCATTCTCAGATGGCTTACTGGCTGGCATTCTATAGCCCTATTATTATATTTAAATCGGCATGGTTATGCATCGACTACCGTGTCCTTACGAGGCCGTAAAGGAAGTTGTGTCATAAATAATGGCAGGTATTTTCATATGAGGAGTAGAACATGAATGTGAAAATAATTTAGTGTCACCATGAGAAGACGACTGTCTCAGAACAATCGCAAATAAAGTTGTTGGAGACATATGACTTGTGACTTTTATGAGAACAAGTGTGCGTGTGACCTTTAAACATGGAACACAACCCAAAAGGGTGATATGACATGGATTTGATACATAAGGTAGCCGCAGTTAGAATTTGATGGCAAGTAATGACCTTAAAGATCTTTCGGAAAATTAAAAAAAATTGCAGTCAATAGTCACACTGACACAATTTCTACCCTCTTCTAAACTTTTTGCTTGGTAACTTGCAAGCGAATCACCAAAAGGACATTTTTTGTCTATTCCCAAAATATGATTAAAAACTTCCCTTAAAAGGACCGTAGCATGTCGAAATTTTCTAAAAGTTACCACGAACAGAAATCTTTGTATCCGTTATATATCAAATTTTTTGCCTCAATGTTGCCAAAAAAATTTCTACACAAAAGATATATCTATCTATATCTTTAACATATTGTTGAAACAAAACGCAATGAACTTTTGGCTTGTTCCCTAGAAAATAATTTTAATAATCCACATTTTATGTTCTAGTGATTCTTGTGAAAATATTCCAAACTAATAACTTCCCGCTAATCGTCAGCGAAAAGTCCACGTTAAAACTGTAGATTCTATCCAACAGTTCATGTTAGGCCTTTCTAGCACTCAAAATGCGAATTTTTGATAACCTTTTTTAATCAAAATTTCATCGTAGCAAGTTTTCAGACTTTCAAGATTTAATATATTAATCAAGTTTTTCCTTTTTCGGAAAAAATCTACTTTTTTGAAGTTTACCATAAAGTATTTTTGAAAATCCATTACACAATGGACCCGCGTCCAATTATTTTGCCCAAAACTATTTCACATCTCCATATATAAATCCTAGAAACAAACAGTGACCTCAAAAAAAATCAGAATTTCAGCTCTATCTCTCCATCCAACACCAAATTTGGTATCGTATAGTACTCATATCCAAAGCAATCTACATCTCTCTATCCTAGACACCAACAGTGATTCAAAATTAATCACCGCCAGATCTCAATCTCAGATAGCCACAGAGAACTCAAAATCAAATTTCAGGATTCAAGCTCTATGCATCCCCTCAAAGTCAAATTTTGATCATTTAGTACTTTTCGTAAATATTTTCAGTATCATTTAGTACTTTTCGTACGATTTTAGTACACATTTCCAAAATAAACTGAACCTCTGAACCACAGATACCAGCAGAGAATTCTAGATCAAATTTCAAGATTCAAAATCTATCCATTCACTCAACGTCAAATTTTGGCCATTTAGTTATTTTCGTAAATATTTTCAAAGCAGCGTCAATATCTCAATCCCAAATACCAGCAAAGACCTCAATATCAAATTTGAGAACTCAAACTCTACCCCTTCACCCACTACCCAATTTAGTACCACTTAGTACTTTTCGAACAATTATAGCACATATTTCCAAAACCAGCTCCTTCTTTTAACCACAGATGCCAGCAGTGACATCCATATCAAATATGAGTATTCCAGACCTATTCTTTCAACCAATACCAACATTTCGTAAAAATATTGGATGAATTTTCAAAAGCACAGCCATACAGGGTGAGATTTAAAACTGCAACCAACTTGTCCGACAGCTGTTAAAATTATTCCAGTGACAGCTATAATCATATGTACCATCGCTCGTTACAGTGACACTGGTATCGTAGCCTGACGTCAGGGAAGTGGACGGAAGAAAACAGCAACATCAGCAGAAATAGTTAGAAAAGTAAAGAAGCGACTTGATTCAAACCCGCGTCACAGTGGCCGAAAAATGGCTCGTGAGCATATCGCAATTTTCCATTCGGCAAATATTGAAAAATGAGCTCGGGGTAAAGCCATTGAAATTCCAAAAATAGCAAGAACTTACACCGCAACAGAAAAAAATTAGATTCAAAAGACCTAAAGACAGCACAGCAACATTCATAATTCCTTAATTCGTGCCAAAGGTGACCAATTCGAACTAATTCTAAAATTTGATGCTATTTCCGACATTTTTTGCTTTCATTCGAAAAGTTTAAGAAAAAATGTAAACATTATGGCGTTTGACTTTGTTGCAGTTTCTTTATCTCAACCTTGTATATAAAATACAGATACCATCAGTAATCTAAATATAAAATTTCAGAATTGTATTTATATCCCTTCACCTTTCACCAAATATAGTACCATTCAGTTCTTATTGTAAAATTATAGTAAACATTTCCGAAACCAGCTTCTTCTCTAAACCACAGACACTAACAATGACCATATCAAAATTCAGGATTTTAGCTCTATTCGCTCACCCCGTACCAAATTCAGTACCATATAGTACTCTTCGACAAAAAAATATATTGAATCATATCCCTTTACTTAATAGCTACTTTAGTACCACTTAGTACGTATTGTACAATTATAGTACACATTCCGAAATTTCCTCCATATGCACAGGCTAAACACGAGCAGCGACCCCTGCTACCAAATTTCAAATTCCAAGCACTATCTGTTTACCCAATAACAAATTGTACTGAAGATAATAGTATGCAGTACATGTAGCACAAATTTCCGAAACTACCCCTTTATCACTAGCTTGATCCGTTCACCTTAAATTAAACAGTTTCAAATCAAATCCGAAACCACCTTCATATATCAAACGTTTGTTCCAACTGGACACTCATACAAAATTCCAATCTTTTAGCTCGTTAGGTTCACATAGTATCAAACAATACCATTTTAGAAATTTTGTACCATTTTAGAACTTTTAAAAACCTTAAAGTTAGAATTTCCAAAAATTCTTTGCTGCATCTATTCTGCACTCCATCAGTGATGCTTGTTCCAAGTTTCAGAATTCTAGCTTATTCCGTGCATCCGATACAAAGTATTCAATTATTAGTACTTTTCGTATCCTTTTAAAATTTTCAAAATTTCACGATTATAGCTTTAAACGTTTCGTCTGGGCGTTGATAAGATCCGCCAGTCTGTCGGTCAGTTATTTCACTACTCTTTTATATATATATAAATAAGTCCTTGTTTAATGCTTTAAAAGTCCTAGCCCAAGTATTAAACAATTTTTTTTAACTCCATGCTTAATCCTCTTTCGATCATCCTGAAATTAAATTAAAAGATCCACGTCAAATACTCAGTTAATATTTCTAAAAAATATTTTAATAAAAGAGTGTCATGATTTCTAAAAAATAATTTCTGATTTTATTTGATTTTCATGTCAGATATTTAGTTTTCAAAATGTTTAAATATTACCCATTTTCTGTTTAATTTCAGTTATAAAATGTATACGACGACAAACCAATATAGCTCAATGCCAATATACCAGTGAACTTAAAGTCAATATTAAAACAAATTTTCTTTTACAAAAGCCGTTTTTTGTAATCTTAAAAAGAGGTAACACACAAAAAATCCACCTAAATGTCCGACGAAGTACCTTCGGGAAGATTATCTCAAATTTTTGATCCGCTTACCAACTTGCAGGTGCCGGGCAGCATTATTTCCAGCAGCACCAACAACAACAGCACTGGGACGACAACAGCAGCTTTATTGGGTGCTGCTAGTGTGGGCAGTGCTGGTAGTAGCAGTAGTTCCCATCACCATCATCAACAGCAGCAGCAGCAGCAGCAACATCAGGCATTCCAAGACCAGTACCAGTATTTAATTCAAGCACATAATTACTTTCTGCGTTCTCAATATGCTTGGCCGGGTGCAAATCAAAGTCATTACTTTCAGCAGCAACAGCGTTATCAAGGGCAATATGTCACACATCAACATCATCATCAATAGGGGCATTTGATGATTATGACAGGGGCATTGCAACTTCAACAACAACAACAGCATTCGTTTCCAACCCTATATGACACTTCGCATATTTTGAATTCTTCTCCATTGCTTACCAAACGGGCCATCTCCTTTAGCGGCCTCTAAGTCGCCAGCAAATGGAATTGGACCTGGACAGTCCTGCAGCTGCCTTCCAACATAGCCAAGCTACAGTCCAATCGACACCAAATAGTCTATGTTTAATGCCTCGGCGGACCCAAAAACCACCTCCCTTACCAGCTAAGCCCACCAGTAGCGGCGCAGCGGCATTAGCAGCATCCGTTACCATAGCCTCAAACCAAAATGTAACGTTAAAATATCAACAATCACAACGACAACAGCAAGTGAATCCAGCTGCATCACTGGATGCTCCATGGCTTCATTTTTCATCGTTGACGGACAATTTGGATGTTCATCAGGTCAATAATTATACGCAGGATGTACCGGAGGTACGTTTAAAAATCCGCCTTGGCAATGATTAAGATGAAATTAATCATCTGTCTTTCCGCTTCAGATCAACTGGCAAGAGCGCTGCTTGTAGCTCCAATTAGAATTACATCGTTCAAAGAATCAAGCTGGCCGTATACAAGACATGTTAAGAGAAAAGGTGAGTACATACGAAATATTTTAAATGAAATGAAATTAATAGAAGGAGGAGTTATTTTCTGAAGATAAATAAGTTTTGTCTAGCCGTGGATTATTAAAGACTTTATCTCGAGAACAAACAGATTAATTAACGTATTAAAAAAAAAAAAAAAAAATAGCAAGAATTCATTAAGATTTTTTTGTTAAGCATCAATCCAGAATTTGGTATATCCTTTTCTCAAACATCAACGTGGAATTTAAAAAATTTCATCAAAAGGACACCAGATTATTATATCTGAAATTTAAAAGAATTTCGTATCAAGAACCGTCGTGGGTTTTAAAACAGTTTCTTTATAAAGGACCAAAGTGGATTTTTAATTTTTTTTTTTCTCAAGGAAAATGGATTTTCAAATAATGGATGTTTATAAACCTATTTTTACCGACAAACAGATTATTAAACGTGGTTTTTTAAGAAATTTTTTTTCTCAGGAACCAGCGTGTTTTTTTAAGAATTCATCACTCAAAGACCAACGTGGATTTTTAAAAATTTTTTCTCAACAGAACAGTGTTTGGCTTGCTTGTTTGGGATACCATAGTATTTCTCAAGGAAAACTCATTTTCAAAGAATGGATTAACGTTTTTTACACCGACCAACAGATTATTAAATGGAGATTTTATACGAAATGTTTTCTCAAGGAAAATGCATTTTTAAAGAACTTCTTTTCACCAACCAACAGATTCTTAAATGTGGATTATTTAAGATTTTTTTTATTAATGGCCAGCGTGGATTTTTAAGATTTTTTTCTCAAGGTCCAATGTGGATTTTTAAAAATTTTGTTGTTACAAAATGGTCAGGCTTAATCCCTTTATTGTTGTTTTTATATTTTTTTTAAGGAAAATCCATTTTTGAAGTATGGATTTTTAAAGAACTTCTTCCTACCGACCAACAGATTTTGAAACGTGGTTTTTAAAGTATTTGCTCTCAAGGAAGACGGATTGTTAATGTACTTTTTACCGACCAATAGCTTAATAAAGAACTGATAGATCATTAAACTTGAATTTTTGAAGATTTTTTCTCCAGGGCCAACATATATGCTTGTATTTTAATTTTTATTCAAATGACTAAAAGGCCATCGGATTCATAATCTTGGATTTTAGTCAAAAATTTGTAAAGGATTATCCATAATCATAGATTTTTAAAGGATACGTTATTAAATATACAGATGTTGATGTTTACAGAAGGAACTTAAGGGTTTGGGAACAAATAGATTCATTATCGTGATTTTTTAGAGAATACTTTATGAACGACCGGGGAATATATAAACGTGGATGTTTTCATCAATATTTGTGCCATCATCATGGATTTTTTAAGGTTTTTACTAAAGACGAATAAAAAATTTAATCAAAATTATATTTTTCGATCCTAGTATCTGTGAAAAATATTTCTTTGCTCATTCATTCGTTGTCGCATTCATCCACAATACTTTACCTCCGGTAGAACAGATTGTCATTTAACCGGAAGACATGTGTACTTGTGTTGGTTTTGTTTATAAAATACCGGAAACAACGTGAGCAAGCCATAAATAAAAGCTGGAAAATATATCGACCGGGGAGCCCCTAGATATATGCAATACACAATTTAAAATTTCAAAAAATGGAACAGCGAAATGACTCCCAGTTGTTCTGGGACAGATGCTTTAAAACATTAAAATATTTTTAAACATTGACTAAATACAAATATTTTGTTTTCGAGGATTAGCCGCTGTTCTCCATCATTACTTTCAATTTAATGCACAGTTCTCCTTATTATGCCCGCATAATAGTTTTTTATCTTTGCCCCAAATACTCATTCATATTAAATGAAGGCTTAAATAAAAGAATTGGAGTTAAAAAGAGCCCAATTCACAACAGGCGAACGAAAAAGAAAAGATAAGAACAATAGCAATAGTAAATACCATAGAACTATTGTTGTGTGGGGAGGAGTGGCTTTCTTTTTGTGCAGTGCATTGGCAAAAGGCGCATCAACAGTTAAAGCAGTACTAAAACCTACTCTTGGGGGATTTTCTCTTAATAACAGGGGACGACAACAATTGTTCAACAATACAAGCTTAAAGTAGTTATGAGAATGTTTGACGATTTTTTGACAATAGAATAAGTGGTTGGGGTCTGAAATCCAAAACTACCACGCAATATGTTAAAGTTGGTTGTTTAATTTGGAGTTCGAAATGTACAGTAAAACCAAAAAGTATTGTGTGATATCAAAGAGAATCAAATCGATTATCCACTAACATTTCTACCAAAATGTCGAGAAATAATAAGAAGATAATCTAAATAGTCTCTAATTAATAGAGGTCCTATAAAAATCGAATGCTTTTCTCACACTTAAATACGATTCAAATTTCTTTAAAAAAATCAAAGTTGTTTTCCATTAATTTACCGAATTCAAATGGTTTATTATTCTGTACACGTTTAGCAAAGACATCTTAAATCATATAATCATTTTCATAATCAAAATCAATCATTTTGCGTACACCCACAACATTTCTTTTTGACCCATTGTAAAAATATCGATTCTCATACCAAATTATTTGCTTTATTCAAGCTGCCGGTAGTAATTGTTCCTAATTTAGTACACTTGTCTTGCATATATTTGAAATGATCCTCATTTAAACACACTATCGCACCGGCGAAATTCCTAGAAATATATTGTACAACTTTATTTTAATTACATAACCTAACTACCCTGAACCCATAAATACTAATATTATATTATTAATTACCTTTAGTACCTAATCAAGTTTTAATTTCCTATAATAAAGACTATTCGTGGTAATTATCATGATACAGTGTTTAGTACAATATTAGTACTGGTACATTTTGTACCATTATAGTTCGAATTTTCAAAAATACAACAGATTCAACACGCAAACAGTGTTCTCAGCTCCGAATTTCAGGATTCTAGTACATTTTCGTACTTTTATTTCCAATTTCCAATATCTCAGCGCTAAATACCACTAGTGACTCACATGGCTGAGCATTGATATGTATGTCAGTCAAAATATAACTAAATAAAGTCAAAATTTCCAAAATGTAATAGAAAGGCCGGGCTCTGAAATTTCTAAATTAAGTGCTCTCATGTTCATTTAAGTCTCAAAAAACTAACTCGAAATGAAATTGCCGTACATGCTAATTTTAATATTATAGCGAGAATTGTAGAACTATTGAACAGAATCACAATTGTTAGTAATTTTAACAATTCTTTTATTGCTAATTTTGAACCCCGTCGATTTCGGCCACTTTACAAACGGAATCATCCTCAATATCAGAATTCTAGCTAGACTCTCTCGTGTTTGGTGCTAATAATACATTTCTGAGTCACGAATATAAAAATCGAATTTCGCAAAACAAGGTAGTATTTCCAGACAAAAATTACATTCCAATGTTCAGAAGTGTAGTTGTAAAAGTACGAAAGCTCCAGCTTATCTCATGATTAACACCGATTCTTCAGGATTCTAAGTCTCAAAGTATTTTTCCTCCATAGCCACATATGTGGCTTTTAGTAATTGGTGACATTTATAATTAAGTACTTTTTAGGGCGAATTTCCATACAAAATTTCCGAATTGACATCATTTTTATTACCTCCACCATACATAGTATGGAGGGTATATTAAGTTCGTCATTTCGTTTGTAACTCATCGAAATAATCATGTTAAACCTAACAAAGTATATATATTCTTGATTCTGTCCGTCCGTCCGTCCGTCCGTCTGTTGTAATCACGCTACAGTCTAAACGAATGAAGATAGGACGGTAAAATTTTGCACAGATCTCTCTTTTGTCTACAGACAGGTCAAGCTAGAAGATGAAATCCACACAGGGAGTTCTTTGTTTGACTATATAGGTCCACAATATGGTATATCCCCCATATAACGGTACCCCCGATATTCGGGATTTTGATGATTTTAGCCACATTTTCCAATGGAAGTATCTGAAAATCCACACAAGGATTTCCATGTGAGTATTTTACCCCAGACATAGATCTGTCTATATAGGTCCACAATATCGTTTATTCCGCCATATATCGGCACCTTCCGATATTAGGTATTTTAAAGATTTTAACAGATTTTTTTTTTTGAAAATTTTCTAATTCTTTCAAAATGGTATAGTATACATATTAAAATTAAAATATTTATATTTGGCACACAAAGATAATCAAAAGGCTCAACAGATCTGACTGCCAAACCAAAGTATAGGAATGAAATTAATTCACTAATATTAACTATTTATATATAGAATTAATTTAATTATTTATATTAAATTACCATTCAAACATCCTATTAGGATCATCATCTCCTTGGCTAATATAATACAGCATTAGAGTCTCTAATTAGCCAAGCGGATATTAGTAATGTGCAAAACGGAAAATAAATAACGAATATGACACACATTCGGGCCATTTTCTTCGTATGGCATATTTCCCCACGTGGTCCCGTAATAAGGTTCATTACACGTTGATAATGAGGAAGCCGGGAAAATGGGGACACAACTGTGATGAGAATGAGGGATAACGATGAACTCCCTCCGTGGTTGTTTGTGTGAGATAATGGTGGCTAAAATGAATCTAGTTCTATTCACAGCTTACATCACTGTATACATAAGTATTAGAGTGGATATATGGTTGAGAGACTGATGTTTGTAGGTAATCTAGCAAGTTGCTTTGAAACCGACGTCTGTTTTGTGTCATTAAATTACTAATTTTTTAGGTTTCATAATGGACCCCCAAAGACTTGGAGCTTTTGTTTTCTTTCAAATGTCAGGGTCTGTCTGCCTGACATTTTTAATTCCGCTTGTGGGTGGTACTGACATGACATCTGCACAAAGAAAAAAATGACGTCATGTTAGTTTTGCAAATTCTTTTGTAAGTTTGCAAACTAATATCTATGCATAGGACATTCATGGCATTTTCTGCACCAGAATTCTTATATAGTGCGAAGCGACCATAGCCGAATTAATTCACTAGGGT